TTACTGTGTAATGCCGCCCTAGAGAGGCACGGCGTGCGATGTATTGACATCGCGGGCACCACGTGTATCTGGGTGCAGTACCGGCCCATGAGGGGCTCGGTGAGCGCTGATTGGCAGTGACGGATGACACCACGCTCTGCGTGCAGTGCCGACCCCTACAGGATGGGGTGTCAGGGTGCCGGCCATGGAAATGAGGTTACTAAGGGCCATGGCACTCTGGTTGACCCTAGAGGACACGTGACCGGTAAAGTCTACACAGGGCCCCCAGGTGGGGGCTAGGGGTGGTCACGTGTCAGGGTCGAGATCCTGCTCGGGGGTTCGAGAAGGGGGTCGTGGCTAAGGGCGGGGCCAGCCACGCCACCGAGAGAGGGGCCGGCTGCTGTTGTTCATCCTGAAGAATCTAAGTTCTACGTTCTGTGTCCTACAAGAGTCACCAACACGTGGACCTGGACCCAAGCTGTGGTCCGGTCCGTTGTAGCTCGTTACGTTGTAATCAGTGCAGTTAGCCTGGTGGTCACCACCATAGGTTGTTATCTGGTTAAGGGGTAGTACCCCGTGTGTTGTTTTTAATAAATGTGTTGCCTCTAAGAAGTGCGTCTGCGACTCAGTTGAACTCACCACACAAGAACATGTGGTAAACCGTATGGGGTGACAGGTGTGGTTTCCTTACAGGTCGGGGTGATTGGCGAAGCCTGATGTGCAAGTGAGTGGGACGGGGGGGGGGGGGCGGCCCAGCCGCTGCGGTAAAGGTGGGGGCGGTGGAGAGACAGATTCAGTTCAAGCGATGGCTCAGGGGGGAATTCAGGATCTGGTAGCTCGGCACTGGCTGACAGGCGACTGTAATATACATACATTGATGTGCATGCATAATGTGCATACATAATGTACATGCATATTGTTACGTCTGTTGATTAACTGTGAAGGACCCAAACAATAATAGATATCCATTGTAATGTATAAGAATACCTCACCCCCCCCCCTCTGGTCTTTGCACCTGATCGGCTCACAAGTGACGGACATCTCATGTATTGCCTCTATTTAAGACCGAAACAGAAGGAGGATTTCTCCACAACTCTGGCTGTCGCCTGATGATGCTCGTGGTTGTAATTGCTGGCGAAACGTCACGCTACTCAAATTGTAAATGTTGCAGTGGGTTCACTCTCCAACACACCAGTTTGCTATACCAGTAACGACTTGGCATGTTTTGTTTATGTGACAAACCTTACGAACTGGCTCCGTCGGGTGGTGGCGGGTTTAACAACACATTTATATTTACGCGATTTAACCCGAAAGCCTCGATTATGGAGGTGTATGTATGTTGAACTTCTTTCGCACCACCGTACGTAGCCAACCGTGCTAATCGGATTTGTTCGATCCACGGATCACATGGGGGGGGGACCACGGGGGCGGCGTCATTCCTTCAAGGGTCGAAGTTGCGCAATTTGCTGCGGGAGTTTGCGCTTCAAGGCGGAGTGATGTGTACCAAAGAGTGGCACCACAGCCGTCTCCTCCCTCGAACTGAGCTCTCGATCGCGAGGAGACCGGGCCGCAGATGCAACGGTGCCATTTCTGATGGAGTCGAACCATCGGGGTGTCTCCTTGACCACTGCTCGCCGTATTCCGTGTCAGCCGAAGGACGCGCCCCGCTGTTGGGAGATGCAGCGAGCCCCGCGTCGAGGCAGCACCTGAACCGCCCGACCTTTGGAGGAGACGCCACTGGGCACAGGCCGCCGGGAGAGTCCGAGAGACACCCTCCAGCAGCTCTTTTCGTTTCAGAACTCAAAGACATCCCGGGGTGCCCGTGGGGGCCACCTGTTGTCAGGGGTGAGTCCCCTGGCTGTTCAGCGTCTTGGGCTCATTGTTGGTGGCCACGGTTTCGGACAAACTACTGAGCCCTATCGACCTCTTTAGGAACGGACGAGGGTGCTACGGTGGCGTGATGTTAACTTCCTCGCCGAGTATACAGGCATTGCTGTGTATGTGAAGTTTGCGTGTCTCTCTCGCCGTGGTCACGTGGATTTTTCTATGAGTTTTCCCGATTTTTCCACATTTAGAATCAACATCACGCATTTAGAGTATTTGGCTGCTACTAATTTACACGTGATAAGCCACTTGGTTGAGCCATCATTTGTGGCCAGGTCGCCTCTGAAAAAGAGCTACATAACTCAGTGGGCCTTATCTGGTAAATACAAAGTTGGATTAGTTTAGAGCAGTGAAACGGAGGTTGGAGAGACTCCTGAACTGAAACTCGTGACGTTCTTTCTGGACCACCTGAACGAGACACTCCGGGCTTTGTTGATATTTAACTGCTATATAAGCACACGTTTTGGGCTGTGATTATTTGGTGCTGGGAGGTTAACTAAATTTAGTTGAGAAAAACCGTCATCACTGCCCGACTTTTGGGCTCGTGAATTTGTGTTGGAGGTGGCTCTCGCCTGAGAGCCGGTACACGGACCACGAGAGCGATCGTGCAACGGTCAGGTCAGCGCGCTGCGCCACGAACCCGGCGACCCGAGTTCGAGTCCAACTCACGGACGACACCAGTGGCGTTTAATCTGAACCGGTCCTGGGGCTCCCATAAGTTGACTCAGCCTGAAATGAGTACCTGGAGCGGTCTGTAAACATTGCTGCTGGGGAGACAAAGGCGGCCGGGCGTGGTGCTGGCCACCCACCCCCTTATGTGTCGTGCCGACCTTCATAGGTGCTCGCTAACAGCACTTGTCACAAGTCTGTCAAGGCTATACAGGGGATATTTGTCTTTGTTGGCTACAAAAGAGAATTATTTTCGGTCAAATGTGAACCAACCCTCACAGTTCTGTCCCATCTTGGGGTTTTATTTAGTTTCCTGGGTTTCGGTCACAGCTCCTGGTGTTTCGTTTTAGTTTCTTTTGGTTTTATGTTTAGTTTATTGTCACTTTCCGCGCACCTCCGATTAGCATGGTTGGCTACGTACGGTGCGAAAGAAGTTCAACTTGCATGAGTGGATGGAGGTGGGCGTGGGTATCAATCCGTCAGGATGGAACAAGTGTGTGCTCAGCCGTACAATCTGCGTGCCGCGTACACTCAGTGCCAGGGCGATTCAGATAATTGTTTATTGTCGTGTTTACCGGCTCGTTTCTCATTAGTTTGTTACAGTTAATTTAAAATTGCCCTGTGTTGTTTTCTTCGCTGCGCAAAGGGGGCTCGTCAATCAACGTAGTATTTGCACGTGGACATTACCTCACTGCTAAATACTTGAACACGTAGGTCTATTTCATAGCTGTCAACCTCTTATCAGTGCCTACCTTATTACACACCAATTCAGACATTATTGGTCACCCCGTGCCCTAATAAATCTCAACTTTCATCTCACAAAGTCCCATCACAAGGGAGAACCACAAACAAATAGACATTTACTTTGCCCATATTGAAACGGCTGTACGGCGTATGGACCTGAAAACTCAATTTCCCTGTACCAAAATACAGGGTTAAAAACCGTATGGGTTGGCCGGTATGCTATTTTGACACATGATGGAAGTGCACGTAATCGTGAGTGAATATGGATTCGTCGCAGCGACACCGCCACGAGACAACCATTGCGGAGGCGGTCGTCTCCGTTGAATGCAGCGGGGGGGGGGGGGGGGGGGGTCTCCGTACGTTCTCATTGTCTTGCGCGTTCAAAAATAACTCATCCGTGAACCGCTCAAAACATCCCAATGCGGGATCCTCCTGAAAAAGTCTTAACACTCAAATGATACCAGTTCTAAATATTTATACTGGTAGGAACCTCCTGGTTACACCAGCCCACAGGGGATTATTGTGTCCGTCCGTCGTGCAGGGAGGGGCTGGGTGGGGAGGGGCTGGGTGGGGAGGGTGGGCTGGGTGGGGAGGGTGGAGAGGGGCTGGGTGGGGAGGGTGGGGCTGGGTGGGGCTGGGTGGGGAGGGGAGGGGCTGGTCACCCCGTGGTGCCCTTATAAAAGTTTAACCTACTCACGCCGGCTTGTGCCCGCCCTCACAGTCGGCCAAATCTGCGGAATACACCACGCCGCCCTTGACCCTGGCCATTGACCGAGCAACCCAAAGTTCCTACCAGCTCCCTCCACAGGAATGTGTTTATTCTGCTTTTTTTACCCAGGAAAGCCTCGCCGAGTCTCAATATTCTCTTTTCAGGAAGGCTCTATGTTTTTTTCAGGAGGGGGCGACGATTGCTGTTGAGTGTCGAGTAACGTGCGGGGCATTTTTCATGTTTGGGAAATTTGGACTGATTCAAAGTTGAACACAGTGGCCTCCCCCCTATCTTCCAAGTGTTATGGGATCTTAAACGTCTGCTGTGAAACAATCGGCGCGTGTTATTACAGTTAATAGACATCCACAGGAATAAGCAGAGCAGCCTGCCGGATTCGAATCGTAACATGGTGGTGAGATGTTCATTACCTCGCCTGGTATGCAGGAGGTCGTGGGTTCGATCCTGATACGGATGCCTGTATATTTGGAGTTTGCATGTGCTCTCCGCGTGGTCAGCGTGGATTTTTCTCCAGGTCCTCCGGTTTTTCCCTCCACATTTAGAAACATGCGTTCAGAGTATTTGGCTGCGATACATTTCCACGTGATGAATAAGCCACTTCGTCGAACTATCATTTGTGAATAGCCAGGTCGCTTATGAAAAAGAGCTACTACATAGCAGCTCAGTCGGGTCTTACCTGGTAAAATAAAATAAAAACGGTTTAGTTTTAAGTTTACTTTTAACCTCTGCAACACGCGGGGAACGTGCTAGCGCTGAGCCGTCTCACCAGCCCAAGCAGAATGTGGCCGCATGTTTTGAAGCTGCGAATGGCTCCCTATAGTCGTGTCTCTAGGCCCCGACTCTCCTTCACTCCGCGATTGTCTCACTTTGATTTACCACGTTTTCGTGTTCACCGTTCGCTCTTTACTTCAACGGAGGGCATTCAACTCTTAGCGGTGAGTATGTAACCACATCACGCAACACAGGTGGTTTATCTTCATATTTTATTTCATAGTCTTCAGGGTATAGTAAATGTATCAAAAATATGTTTTATGTATTCTATTAGTGTTGTTAATTGTTAGGTATCATTTAGAGGGTTGCTCGAGATGCATTACATAAGCTTTGCACTGTATTAGCGGCGAGCCAGACTTTTCAGCTCAGCGTACCAGGAGTGTGGCTGGCTGGGGAGGTTCCAATGCGTGATCAAAGCCTCCCACCATTACCGACCTGGGGAGACCTTCATCCAGCAGTGGGATGGCAAAGGCCTGTAACATAGCATAGGCCTGTAAACTAGCATCACGGTACACGAAGCACAATGGGTACTGCCTCTCCACCCACTGTTCACACTTCACTGCACGACTGGATTATTTATCATTGCGCTCGTTTACCTGAGAAAGCCTCACCGAGTCTCAATAAACTGTTTAATTCTTCTGGACGGTCCGGCCAAGTTTTAGCAATAGGGGGCCATGTTGCTTTGTGCATCTCGATCGAGTAATTTGCAGGTAATGTTTATATTTCGATGTTTGGCAAATACCAGTTACCTTGTTATGTTCAGCAAGCCCTCACCTAACCTCATGACACCTCGTCACACCTCATCGCACCTCTTCCAACCTCATCGGACGTTATCAAAACGCATCACACATGCTGTCCATCCTTTCACTCATTTTCGTTCACCCACAACACGTGTACCTCAATGAACAGCCTACACTTCATAAATTACGCTTGTCATGTTACTACCGACGGTCTAAAGTAAACCAATAGTTCCTCTTACACGAAATACAAAACCTCACTTCAAAATGTAAAAAATAAACTCAATCTGCATTCAAACGAACATCACATGCAAACTGAAGCTGTTCGTATCGAGCAAAGGGCCGGCCGACAGGCTTCTGCGACCAAGTCAAGTCCGTTTCACGTGGCAGCGCCCTTCTCCAGACAAGCGTGCTCTGGGCAACCGTGCTTACACATCCAGAGCACTGCCACAGAGTAGCATGGCCCGCATGGGCCTTGTTGCGAGGAATGAAATGTGCTTCTCCCTCCTTGTCTTCTCCCCTCTTCGGAGCCTGGCGTAAGAGGGCCCCCTCTTGCGCCTGGGGCTCCCTCCGGCACCTGGTGGCCCCCTCCGGCACCTGGGGCCCCATTTGGCGCATGGGGCCCCCTCTGGCCAGTGGGCCTCAGTGCAGTTGCACCGCCTGCATGCTCGACAGCTTCGCCCACTGGTGCAGGGGCTACCGAGAGAATGTTTTGAGTGTATCCCCACACAAAGGGGGTGGTGGGGGGTTATCAATTACAGTCATGCTACCCGTGGGCGAATCACTCGCAAACCCCCAGGGGCAGGTCTCCACAGGTCTTTACAGGTCTCCACTGAACGTGACCGACAGAGAGGATCTACGGCCTGGAGGCGCGAGACTGGCGCAGCCCTTAGTGTCTGCCGTCGAATGCGATAAGCGTGCGTCTCCACCATTAGGGCACGGCGCGAAGAGGAACGCCTGCTGCTGCTGTTGCTGCTGTTGCTGCTGTTGCTGCGGCGATGATGATGATGATGCAGGCAGCTGCTGGTTCATGAGGACTCGCGTCGCCGTCGCGTCGTCTCTGTCGTCTGGCATGTCGATGCGAACCACGGGTCCCGTGCAGGCCGCCCGAGACGGCGGCGGTGGAGGCGATGTCGTGCCATGAGTCGCCACAGCCAGAGGGCTCCGGAGCTCAGAGGGGCGCCCGGTGTTGCCGCCGCCGCCGCCGCCACCGTTGTTGCCGCACGTCGCGTAGGTGATGAGGTTGTCGGCGTCGGTGCCGGAGCTGCCCTCGGCCTGGTCGCTCAGCGTGCTCACCTCCATGTGCAGGCTCTTCACGCTGCTCGACCGCCTCCGCCAGCTGTTGTGCCTGCTCCCACTGACGCGCATGCAGACGCGCGTTAGAGTCGACCGTGCTTGTAACACGCTCATGATTGGTCTATTTAAACTTCACCATTTTTATTTTACGAGGTAAGGCCCACTGAGCTATGTAGCTCTTTTTCAGAAGCGACCTGGCCACAAATTATAGCTCAACGAAGTGGCTTACCGCATGGAAATTTATCGCAGCCAAATATACACTGCATGTTTACGACCATATTTATTTCTGGTCAACGCTGCCGACACCATGCCTCGCCATCGCCTCCTTCCTTCTGCACTGTTTTTTTTTTATTTAAAAGTGCATAGCTCCAGTGGCTTCCTAATAAAAGTTGTGTACCCTATCCTGCCGTGAAAGCTGAGGGGTGTGTGGGGAAACAGGCCACCTGTAAAGGATTCGGAGCTCTACAATCGGGCCACAAGAACCCCATAAATGCTGTTATTTTAATATGAAGATTGTAAACAATCCATAATACACGTGTTTTTTTGGGTTAGATCGCGTAAATATAAATGTGTCGTTAGACCCGCTACCAAATTCGTTACTCGTAACGTTACTCGTAACGAATTTGCAAGTTCTGTTAATGTGACAAACCTTACTAACTGGCTGTGTCTGGTGGTGGCGGGTTTAACGGCACATTTATATAATTACGCGATCTAACCCAATAAAAACTGTATTATATCTACTATAATCACTCAGGAATGTCTGTCCTTAACGCTCGTAACGTCACTCCACATTGACCAGCCCCCCTCATTAATAATCATAAGCAGGTGACGTCCTACAAATGGACACCCCCCCCCCCATTATTATTACCGACTATAATGAGCCAAGAATGTCTGTGTGCATCGCTCGTGACGTCACTCCACGCCCCCCTCATTAATAATCATGAACAGGTTCAAAGAAAATAACAAAAAACTACAACGTTTCGATCGCAACACACTTGCGTTGCGATCGAAACGTCGTAGTGACTTTACCAAAACACCCAAGAATATTAATTCCTGCAGTCACGAAAACTTTAGTCAAGAATCATGAACAGGTTACGTTCTCCATATGCACCCCCCCCCCCCGCTCATTAATAATCATGAGCAGGTAACGTCACTCCACATGGAGCACCCTCCCCCCTCATTAATAATCATTATAAGGTGACGTCCTCCAAATGGACACACCCCCCCATTCATATTAATTAGTGGCTGACGTCACTCCACATGGGGGGGCGAGGTGCCTCCTCCCCCCTCCTCGGCGTCAACTTACAACCCTCACTGCAAAGGCAGAACCCTCACGTCACGTGATCTCCGTCACGCTACTGAGACATCAAAGTAAAAAGGACGTCATGATGAACAAGGGATTATAACCTTTAAATAAATTAGTTCTGTGTCACCGCGCCCTTACAAATTGCACACGCATGAATGCTATGAGTATATCACGTCAAGGTCTGCTTTTTGCTTGAAAGTGTCAAATTTACTGCAATACACTCGTCCTTGGATGGGCAAAAGGCTATGGATGATATTGGTCACCAAAGCCTGTGTTAAACCAATGCAGACAATAATACTTTAACGAATTCATGTCCCCGTCTGACACAACAGCGACGCTCCTTAATCACCGCCAATAAACTCGTCACTCCCCGCCCACCTCCCCCCTGCCTTCATGAATCTCGTGAGTTAAGTGATGCAGCCAACAGAGCGGAAGGGAGCAATGCCTGTAAAGTGTGAGGGAATCTGAGCGATGCAGAAACATGCTAAAACAACTAGAGAGAAAACTTGGGTTATGAAATACATTTACACAGGAGTACAGTTTTTCCCCGCAGCTAGGGTTTGGGGTAGTAAATCAAACCTAGATCTTGTGTTTGTTCAAGATTTGGGACATCGTTTTGGCAACCCCTGCTATGTATGGCAAGGTGATGGTTTTGATTGGGTCCTCAGATGGTTCTTTCCCAACGGTTGGGGTGATAGCTTTACGGATTGTGTAGTCCGAATATCCATTCATCTTGAGGGCTTGGTGTATGTGCTCCAGTTCACTGGCTAGGTGGTGATGGTCATTGAAGATTTGGTCCAACAAGGACTGAATACTGATGTACCTGCCCTGGTTAGACACTGCCTCACCAACACTTACTTCACCTGGAATGGAACATTCTACAAACAAGTTGAAGGTACCCCAATGGGTTCTCCCTTATCTCCAGTTCTAGCCAATGTTTTCATGGAAAATTTTGAGACAGATGCCATCCAGGCATCCACTCTACGTCCTTCCTTGTGGAAGAGATACGTAGATGACATATTCGTCAACTGACCACATGGCCTACCAGCGTTGGGCCAATTCTTCAACCACATCAATTCCATACACCCTGCCATCAAATTCACCATGGAGGATGGCAAGTTACCATTCTTGGATGTTTTAATCGAAAAGAGACCAGATGGCTCAATGGGACACTCTGTCTACAGGAAAGTCACCCATTCGGATGCCTACCTAAAACCCGGCTCCCACCACCATCCAGCCGAGAAGAATTCCCTTCATCAAAACTCTACACCAGGGGTCCCCAACCCCTGGGCTGTGGACCGGTACCGGTTCGTGACCTGTTAGGAACCGGGCCACACAGCAGGAGGTGAGCGGTGGGCGAGCTGGAGAGCTTCTTTGAAAAGGGGAAAAGACCCAATGATGAACCCCCCCCCCCCCCCGGTCCGTGAAAAAAATGATCTTCCACGAAACCGGTCCCTGGTGTCAAAAAGGTTGGGGACCGCTGCTCTACACCATAGAGCTCGTTGTATTTCCGACCATCACCAGCTTTACCGAAAGACCCATAGAATATATATGGGTAATATTTGTCTTTACATAAGGGGACGAGGGGGGGCAGAGGGAGGGGGTCTATTCAGCTCTGGTGTCCTGAGGGCAATGGCGCCCAGCTCCTGCCACCGTCTGCACCACCAGTGCTCAAAGCCCGAAGCTTCTTTACAGTTGCTTTGTAAATATTCACCTATCTGGGCCGCACAAAAACACCGACATAACACCTGCCTCCAACACCTGCTGTTTAACACTCGAGTTCAGCTCCCTACTCGCCTTTGAACCACAGCTATCGACAACAGGAGCTGCTTCGGGGCCCTCTTTGTACCCAGGGACACGGGGCGGTAGTGGCTGAGCGAGCAGGCTACAGAGTCACGAGCCCTTCAAGTCCTGGACAACTGCCAACTGGATCCATCATGCTTCATGAGACAGCAAAACGGCTACCACTTTGTGGGCAGCTGGAAGTGGTAGTCTTACAGAGAGACTTAAGATCAGAAGCGACCTGGCTGTAAATGATAGCTCAACGAAGTGGCTTATCGTGTGGAAATTGATAGCAGCCAAATACTCTAAACGCACGTTGATGAAGGGAGAAAAACCCGAGGACCCGGAGAGAAATCCACGCGACCACGGGGAGAACAAGCAAACTCCAAATATACAGGCGTCGTCAGGGTCGGGATCGAACCCACGACCTCCTGCATACCAGGCAAGGTAGTTAACATCGCAGCACCGTGGAGCCCAATGTGTACCTGCACACGCCGTGTGCTGATCATGGGGGTTATCTAACCATACTTCACTGCACAGAAGCTCATCCACACACACAAACGCACACACCTGCGCGTGCCGAGACGGAAGAGCAGCGACGAGATGATGAAGAGGAGGCAGATGAGCAGTGTGAGTCCACTCCAAAACCCGATGACGATGGAATCTGGACAATATGAAGCGTCACAGGGTCGGCCATTAAAGAGGAATTAAGTTTGTATTTCAAGTTCATCATCAGCCATGTACAAACCACTGCTGGATGGCGAAACGACAATGTAATATAAAGAAAGCTGTTTTGTCAACCCACTGCTGGATGAGGGTCTCCCCACACAGTGCAGATCGTGGGGGTTATTTGACCATACTTCACCATGGTCAGTGCAGGTCGGCAAAGGCAAGGGGAGCACAGTGTTAGAAGTAGAAGCAACAATGTATTTTTCTGCACTGCCCTCCGCCGCCCCCGCCACGTAGCCCAGCAGCAGCAGCACGGCAGTCACCCATCCAAACGCGATTTGGGCTCAACCCTGCTGAGCTTTGGAGAGCGGCGCACTCCAGGCTACTTGGTCAAGTTCTCCTAGATCAACTCGCCCTCAAGCGAGCACCCGGTCCAGCCTGCAAGACACCGTGGAGGCCCCGCCGCCTCGTGCACCGCGCCAGGCCACGCTAGGCTGCGCCAGGGCGCCTGCTTTGACGGGCCGAGAGGGGCCAGTGTCCAAGTCGATTTCGTTTGACTCGAGGCGAGAGCTCGAGAGACCGGGGTGAGAGTCTCGTCGGCGAGGGCGGCGCGGGTCACCGACATGACAAACGCAATCGCGTAAAACCAAAACGTAGAGCAGCGGAGCAAAGCTAAATGAAAACACAACACAACCAGTCTGGCAGAACTCAAGATCCCACACGGAAGTAAAACAGATTCAACATCTTGGCACGACGGCAGAAGCACTGTCGCCCGGGGGCGGCAGCTTCGCCAATACTGCCGATGATGGAGTGCATCGCCGCTCCTTTGCCAAATATCGTGCCGACTGAAAAAGTTGACCACGGGTCGGATATGGCTCGTCAACGAGCGCGTCCCGTGCCGTGTGGGTGCGTGAGCGTTGCGGCGAGCGGGTGGAAGGGATTGGACGAGTGCGGGTGGTGCTCGCGTGCCGTACATCTGTTCACCGTGAGGTCGTCGAAGGAAATCTCATCGTATTCGTAGTAGTACTCGTACTCCAGAGACTCGTCCTGGTGCGGGTAGCTGGCGTTGGAAGGCCGGTTTCCTGGCATAGTTGTCCCCACTCCGAGGGAGCTGCGCGCACACACACACAAAGACAAAGATCCCCCATATAGCCTTATCAGACTGTTGCGGCAAGTGCTGTTAGCGAGCACCTATGAAGGCACACGAGGGGGTGGGTGGCCAGCACCACGCCGGGCCGCCTTTGTCTCCCCGCTGAGTGATGTTTAAACGCCGCACCAGTCCACCTAGGAGTGGCCCAGGACCGGTTCAGATATCCTCCATTGTCATTGGTCATGAATGGGAATCGAATTCTGGGTCGCCTGGTTTGTTTGCACAGTTGGCTAACCAACGTTAAGTCCTCTTATCAGCGGACGTGTGGTTAGAACCGATTACCCACAATCGAGTCGTTTCATCCGAGCGTAGAAGAACAAAGTCGGATTAATGTGGCGCTTCCGGGAGAATCATTCCGAGTGACTCATCCATGGATAAGCACGGATGATATGAAGCAGTAACCACTGCTTCACACACACACACACACAAAGACAGCGATCTCTCATTTATGTTTCATCACGCGTAAGCGCAAATGCTATTTAGCGAGCACCTGCGGCGGCCGGCATATCACGTGAGGGCGTGGAGTGGCCAGAAATCATCGTAACGCGCGCGCACACGAAACAGGTACGCTTACACAAGAATGGGCAGGAAAACACATATGCAAAATATGTACGTATGCCTGACGCATCGCGGGCGATCTTATTTTTAGACAACTGGAACGGCGTAAGCGGCGAAGGGTACAACGCTATTATAGCCCCGTGGTGGCCGTGGGGCTTGTTTGACCTCACCTCACCGCGCCGGTCAGCGCGCGTGGGGGTTGGCGAACCGGCGGAGACGTCGCTCACCACCGGCGTGAGCCGCGCGGGGTTCGAGGCGCCAGTGCGTTAACCGCTGTCGCGCCACAACTCCGCCGCGTTAGATTGCCCCTGCTGCCTTGAACGTCCTCAAAGTGCAACCGTGACAGGACAACCTTGCTCGTGTCGTCCTAGGGGTCCACCATCTACGACTTGACCCAGCCACCGCTCCTCCTCCGTACCCTTCATTGGCTCCTTGCTGCCAGCAGGACAAATGATGAAGCTGCGCCTGCCTTTGTCATCGCGCCTTCACCACCGGTTCCCCACCACAATTCCTTGCCTCACTCACACCTGTCAACCCCTTTCAGTGCCCGACCTTATGACAGACCAATTCAGACCTTAGTGGTCACCCCGTGCCCTTACAAATCTCAACGTTCATCCTACAAAGTCCCATCACAAGGGAGAAACACAAATAAATAGACAAAAAAATTGCCCGTATTGAAACGGCTGTGCGCCCTATGGACTTGACAACTCAATTTCCCTGTGAGTATATGGATAAACCGTATGGGTTGACAGGTATGCTCACTACTCTCGCCCTGCACTGAACACTCACAGTAGAAGCCGACGCAGCAGCGTCACTCAAAATCTGCTTCAAAAACCAAAGGTCTCGCACTGTTACAGCCTCACATCGGTATACACTAAATTACCACACACTACACTATACATTACACTACTATACACTCTACTATACGACGATTTGACCGGCGTGCTGATCTGCCGCGACTGCCGCGATTGGCTGTCACGGCCAACTCGTGGGGCTGGCAGGGGGTCGCGAGAGCCCGAGGATACGAATCGCCACGCTCGTACCTGAATCTCACCGTGGCTGCAGCTCAGGAGGCCGCATGAAGCTTTGCTAGAAGCTACTACGATTAGCAAACGGTGTTTGCGTAAAAAAAACGTAAAGTTTAATGCTATATTAATAACTGTAGCTCACAACAACACACTCACTCGCCACACTGGAGATCACCTCGCTTTTCTTTCTGCTCACTCACCCGCTCCACTCTGATATTCACTCCCATCGTCTCCCCCCCCCCACACTCTTATCACAATAACAACAATTGACCTTGCTCAATTAGAGAGGCACACTTTGCACTCTTCTTGCCGATTGCAACTGCGACACGAGCGCCGCTTCATTGCTTGCCCCTTGACGTTCTGAGTCTGTGGGCGCCCCGTGCTCAGCAACCACATTTTAAAATAACAACAACAACGACCGAGGCGAATGGATGCGTGACACCAGGCCCCTGGGTTACGGGGGGGGGGTGTGCACGCGGTCGCCAGGGCGCCGCGTCTGTTGCTCATAACTCTCTGGCGACCCTGCTGCTGCAGTGGAAGAGCGAGCCCGAGGCTCACGGAGGCCGCGTGCGAGCAACAGGAGAGCGAGAGAGCGACAGGACAGGGCACGCCTGCAACACGCTGTAGGCTCGCACGCACTAGCGCACACCAAGCAATAAGTAGCGCGAGTGGTAACAATATCTCACTGTGTCCGTCCAGTGCTCGCCGAGCCCCATTGGCTTACGGTTGCCGAACGAATACATTGTAAGGTGACGCTCATTGCACACAAAGTGCTTGCCAACAACTGAACCACGTTGCCTCGCTCATCTCGTCAAGGAGCATAAACCATCATCACGCGAACTCCGGCGGTCATCCTCGCAGCGGCGGCTTTTGGCTCGTCATAGAACAAAGACGGTCACCGCATCGCGCGCTTTCAGATGCGCTTCTGCGGCCGTCTGGAACGTTCTTCCTTCCGATATTAGGAAGCCACTGGAGCTATGCACTGTTAAATCATCATCTAGATTGCAAACACATTTCTTTAGAACTGCTTTTTGTGTTTAGTTTGTTGTCCTTTCCCCGCACCTCCCATTAGCACGATTGGCTATGTACGGTACGAAAGAAGTTCAACATACATACAATAATGTATACATTTGTCAAGTGACGCATTTTTTCCATAGCTCCCAATGCGCCCTGTATATGAAAAGCTTGAAATAAACACAACCTGCAGAGTAAACGGCCAGAACATGGAGGGAAAAGGCCTGTTTAAAGGTGGGTTTTCCAAGACAAACTAAAATAAATCTGACCACTCTGACTGCCTTACAAGCAAAGGCACAAAGTGTAGTTCCAAAGCTTGCGAGCGACACAGTGGCAAAAGCGCGATCAGCCCTGCAGGAACAGAGCCTTGTCCTTGAAGTCCTTAGCAGAGAAGGCGATCCCAAGATCTCAGGAACCTCGTTGGAGAGCAAACGCGGACCGGTTCCTGTAAATATTGCAGGGCTGAGCCCTAAGTGCATCGCGGCTCAAATGAGCATTGAGGTCCTAGATTTGAAGCTTTCGTGACTGCAAGCATTCATACTCTTAGGTTTTTTTCAGTAAAGTCACGTAGGTGAAAAATAATAATAAAATAATAATAAATCACGACGTTTCGGAGGCAACACAAGTCTCCGTCTTCAGGTGGGACAATCAAAGCTACAGTTGATACAGTAAATTTGGCTGTGACGGTCCAACCTGTGTTGCCTCCGAAGCGTCGTGATTTATTATTATTTTATTTTATTATTATTTTTTACCTACGTGACTTTACCGGAAAAAAACCTAAGAGTAGGAGCATTGAGGTATCGGTGCTCATCTCCCGGTTACAGCCCTGCAGAGTGGTAGATCTCCACACTCCTAAGGACGGGGGGTGGGTTCAATCCACAGGACAAGTAGGTTTATGTCTCAATGTAACTAGGGTCAATTCTACATTGAACTAGGGTCAACTCTCCATTTAACTCGAGGGTCAATTCTACATTTAATGAGGGCCAACTCTGGGGCTCATGTGAGGGAGGGCCACAGCCTGGATTAAGTAACAACATGCATTAGGTAAATCAAGTCAGGCTATAAAACGTGTTTCTTGCCAGACGTGCGTAGCCTTGGGGTGGAAAACACCGTGTGGCTGTTTTCTCTTGAAACGAATCGGACGACTTGCGGTCCCGTAGGACCCGAGGGAGACTGACCCTCGGCGGGAGGGGAGCAACTCCGGGCGGTTAGTCCGTAACTCGATAGTCCGCCGGCGGGTACTTGAGGTGGGGAGAAAGCCACCGCGGTATCTGGAGGAAACGCGCCTCGTACGAGCAGAAAACAGTGAAACGTCGCACGGACGGGCACTGAACCCACCTGCTGTGCTTTCCAACTCACGGCCCAGTGGGTTTTGGAGTGACACACGTCGGCGCGGTCCACCAACCCGTGACTTTCGAATCGTAGGTGCGCGCACCGCCACCTCCTCCACCCGCGCCTGGAAGGTTCTGTGTTGAAGTTACGCAACGGACAGTGCCGTACTCTCTGGTTTTTTCGGTAAAGTCACGCAGGTAAAGGATTAAAATAAATTAAATCACGACGTTTCGGGCACGACACAAGCGTCCTTCTTCAGGTGGGGACAACGAAGCGAAAGCACACCGCTTAAGTGTGTCTCAGAGGTGGCTGTGACGAGTAATTATATAGTCGCGGGGGGATGGGGGGAGGGGGCATGGTGAGTGTGGCGGGGCAGGGTGTGGGCCGGGAGGTAGCGTTGCGTACCCCGAGCAACGATTGGAGTTCAAACTGAGGCTTTGCAATGTCGATGGTGGAAGTATATAAGCCGCCTTTTGGTATGCTGCCAGGTAAATTAGTAAAGAGTTCAAACTGAAATGTGCAGCCTAAAAAACTACGTGTGGTAATGTGGGGTAACAGACTGGTAGTATGGATATGTTTATAAATTTTAATCTAAACTAGCATAGCAGCTAAAGTTTAACTTGGTTAATTACATTATTCCACTAATTGCTCAATTTGAATCCATCATCTCGGTTAGTTACGTCTATGTTTGTGTATCTAGATGGCTTCATGGATGCACAAGCTAAGCTAAAGAAGACCAAAACAACAGCGTGTGGTAATGGTGATGGCAGTGTGTGAAGCTGGGGGTAACAGGCTGGGGACATGGATATGTTTTTGACAATGAAATCTAAACTGGCTGTCTAGCAGTAAACGGCACGGCAGCTAACGTTTGACTTTGTTAATTACATCCTTCCAATGATTGCTCAATCTGAATCCATCATCTCGGTTGAAGTTGTGTCTATGTTTGTATATCTGGATGGCTTCATGGACAAATCTTTGGTAGTAACCTGGAGGTTTACAGAGTACCTTGGTATCGGAGAACACAATGTCATGAGAACTTGCAGTATTACAACAGTGGTCAGCTACGGCCGAAGAATTCGTTCTGCCATGTTTCAAATCCGACTTGTGCTCGCGAATGCGATCAGAAACATGTCGTTTCGTTTCCCCTATATAACAATCCCTACAAGTGCAACTCAGTTTGTAGACACCAGGGTACTGTAAGTCAAGAATGACATCCTTTACGAATGGGATCAGATCACGGATCTTGTGTACTGTACTGAATCGGACCTGGATCTTGTGTTTTTTAGAATTTTGGAAATCTTTTTGGTCATGCCTGCTATGCATGGCAGTGCCGTGGTTACAGGCCCGTATATCACACCACTGCTCGATGAAGGACACCTCCACCCCCATCCCCCACCACGTCCATGATAATGAAAGATTCCGATTTTGATATTGTTGCTGGTCACTGGGGTTGCGAAAGTGGGTTGGTGAAGAGGGCCAGTTCAAACACCCGATGGCCACCGATGTTCACCCTAGCTGGGAATCGGATGTCGCAAAATTCCTACCCAGAGTCAGCTTCCTGATCCCAAGCACTGCCCAACCAGACATTGCAATGTCGCGGAACCTCTTTGTCAATCCGCTGCTGGATGAGGGCCTCTCCGCGTCACACGGATCAAGGGGTTTGTCTGACCATGCTTCACCGCTCCGGTCAGTACGGGTTGTTGAAGGTGCCGTAGAACTACATAACACAATTAGAGCAGTTTTTTGCAATGCACGGTCGTGAGAGTATGCGCCTCAGTAAGATCACCTATGACAACGACCTGTTCTATGCACGGTGGTGGTG